TTTTGTCCTTTCTGCTTTTTCTTCAGCTCTGCCTCCCTGCTGCACTACAATAACGAATCATGAGTCATGTACTCTCTACTCCTACACAATTCACCACAATTGCTTTTTTTTCTTATGAGGAAAAAGGCAGTTTTTTTAACCCTACAGGAACTAGTGGTTTTCTGTCTCTACCTCAYTGGTCTTTTCTGAAAGGATGAAAAATTGCATTTGGTTCAGCTCATGCTGCCAGTGCATAAAAGAGGCTTCAAGGCGCTGTTTTCCAGAGGAGGGAGAAACCCCTGTGGTCTTGCTGAGGTCAGCAGGCAGCTGAGACTTGGCTTGAACCTCTGGCAAAGTATTCTCTCTCAAGGCATCTTGCTTTTGCAGTGTGTTTCCTTAGTAGGTCACAGAAGCCTGCCTTTGCTCTTTCTGGASGTGTTTTGTGACCCATCTGTTCCCTTATCTGCCCCTTCCCTTGGTGCCTGTGAGCAGGGATCTGGAAGCCTTGGTCTCAGCAGGTGCCTCAGGCAGATTCAGATAATCCCAGGTGGAAGGCAGCACAGGCACTTGTACCATAAACATCTGGTGCTTGTGGATGTGCAGATCCAGGACAGGCATTTCTTTATGCAATTGCCACCAGCATGGCTGGTTCACTGAGAAGCTCCAAAGTTCCCACTTGAGTCCCACATTCCTGGTATAACATGGAGATCTGAAAGAATTTCCATGCTGAGAGAGGTTTGCTCCTCCCCAAGGTTTRTGCTGTGTTTAATTTATGTTACAATTTTAATAATCAGAATTGGTTTAGATATCAGTGATTTATCTGGTCTTCCTGAGCATTTTCTGTTAGCCTTACATTAGAATCAGTGGTGCTTTGTCATAGAAAGACTGATTTTGCTCTTGCAAAAACACACTCTGAACTAAAATGTTGATTTATCCCAGATGTGCCACTAGGAAAGCTAAACATGAACACAGGCATTAGTATTTTCAGTATTAGGATTTAGGAGCAAATAATTTKTAAAGACAGGCCCTCTGAGAAAATAGAGTAATACACAAAGATTACTTACAATGTGAAAGCTTATTAAAGTAATGCAATGTACTGAATTGATCTGCTCTTCAATGACCTTTATACAATGGTACACATCTACTGGTAAATTGTATAAAGATTGTTTTTAATAAAAGACTGTTCTGAATCAAATTGCACATGGCTGGGTAACAAAACCCAGAATATAAAATTAGTTCAAATTTATGCATTTATAGCATGAGAAGCTTGTGGCTTACCTTCAAAACATTCAAGCACTCCTTGAGTTAAAGTATTTAAGGATTGAAGAAGTAATAACCCTTGTTATAAAGCATTCTTTTAAATTTCTACAGGATTACATTAAATCCAAATTATATTATGTAATAGTTAAAAGGGATCCTGTTAAATATAATTAATTTTGAGACAGGTGAAAGTGCATATAACCATGTGTAAAAATCAGGATCTCCCCTAAACTTTTGAAGAGAAAATGCATTGTGCTGTGAATGTCTTCAGTTTGTGGAGGTATGAATTCATTGCCCTAGAAAAGAGAGATATGAAATATACATTATTAATATGAATATGTCTTGCACAGACGTTTCTCAGAATAAAATCTAAGTAGAAGTGTTATTTGGGGTTGCTGTGTTTCAAAGGAGAAATTATTCCTTACACTTTAAATTTATTTTTAGAACCCAATAGCAAATTAATCATCTAAAAACCCAGGCTCAAAATAGCAAATGTTTTCTGCATATCTCCTGAAAATGACAGGGGTAACATCTCAAAATGGTTTTCAGAACTTGGCATTCTGGGTCTTTAAAACCAGAAGCTTATCCTAGCTACCTGTCTTATGCATTAAATAAATGGAAACTAAAAGAACTGTAATGGGAGTTCTAACACTCTGAAAACACATATCCCATTATGATTGATGGYGCTTGATTACTTAACTTAGGCACTTCTGAAAATCCTGTTACAATTATTTGAGTGATGTGACATTTCAAGGGAAAATAGAGACTGAGAGAGGATTTGTAAATGTTTCCTTTAATTTAGTGGAATGAAGATCTTTTGAATGGAATGCTAAGTGTACCGATTTTTTGCCCCAGTGCCTCCCACTCTTCAAAAAAMCAATTTTAAGACAGAAAACACACCCATTTGGTAGAGAGAGAGCARCCTGTTACATTCACCTCTTAAATGACTTGTCAATTCTGTGTGAGAATGGTTGTTAGGTTGAACCTAATATCAGTGATTTGTACCCTGATGGAAACTACAGTTGTTACTATTGCCCATACTTTAGTGTTTTTGTAGCCTTGCCAAAAGAATGAGAATTTATGATCTAATTGAGCTAGGTGCTGTGAAAATGTATGGCAGAGCAGATATATTTTACAATATTTAAGCAATATTCCATCATATTTAGTTGGCATCCTGATGAAGTAAATGATAAAACACACCAAAAAATTCTTAAAGATAAATGAAAGAAATGCCCATGTACAGTCAGTTATAATCTCTAAGGATATCCTGGATAGTGGATATCCTGGTTGATACTGACTTCACCCAACARTAGATGCTCTTTTTTCAGTCAGTGTTTGCTGCTATTGCCCTGCTCTCTTGATGTGTGACCTGCTGGTCTTCGCAAATTTAGAGAGTTTGCTGAAAGCTCTTGTTTAATAATGCCTTGGACAATTTGTACAAAAAACATACATGACATTCTGGGCTCTAGTTCATAATATCTACCATGAAAAGGTTACTTGAAGTAAGGTAATACAGTAATTGGATTTCTTTTGTATTTCCTCTTTCCTTTTTTTTTGGTGCTTCTATCATTCATTGTCATTTTGTCAGCAATTTAGAATTCATTACTCTTTTGTTCCCAGATGGTCTTTTTTTTTCCTCCACAGTTGTGATCTTTTAATAAGCCAGAACTACTTAACTCTCTGATTTTTTTGCTTTTGGCTCTGATTTTTCTGTRGAAAACAAGTGCTTTTCCTCTGTCCATTTCTTTTCCTCTTATTTGCCTGAACCTTGTTACAAGCTCCTCCATTCTTCTGTGTTTTTATTGAAATTATGCCTTGGTAGGATTCTGCTGGTCTCAGGTTCACACAGAGTAAAATCCGCTTTGCTTTTTCCTGGTTATACATTTCAGCTTTCAGGTTCCTGGGTTGTTTTYCAGTGTGAACTGATTGTGTCTGTATATAAGGAAAATTGCTGTGGCATTCAGACACACACACACAAATGTTCTGGCACTGTTTCCCAATGTACTGAATTAAGAACAGTCTGGACTCAAGCCCTGGTTTCAGCCCTGGAAATTAAATGAAATGTGAGTCTCAATCTGCATTTCCTGATGCAGGTACAATCTGATCATTGAAGTGGGAGAAAAGTAGGATTAGCATGCCAACTTCTATCGCAAAGCAGCAGGAATGTACTAAATTACTAACTTTAAAAAGCAATCTATTTGCACCTCTGGAAATTACTAAAGTCTTAGGAAGAGTAACCCATTCCTTTCAAAATGTTGTTTTGGTTTTTCTTCTGTCCAAGAAGAGGGACAAGGAAATGTCAAGTACTACATTACTCATGTCCTTCAGTATCTTTTTAATGAATTCTTTTTATTTAATGTATTTTCCCTTTTTATTTAATGCATTTTCAAGCACTGTTGACTGCAATGCATTTGAAATACACAAAAGGCATCAGTTCTCTTTTAATCCAAGAAGTGGTTTAATGTAATAAGCAAGAAGAAAGAGGTATTTAATAAATAAATGAATATTTTTCAACTCGTAGGCACTGTTTTAGGAAAATCTCCTGACTCTATAAGACTAGTCTCTCAAAAACCGATGCCTCTGCTTTCTAGTCTCCTCTACATGGATGAAARTTAAGGAATTAACTAGTGTGGTGTCCAGAGTCTTTTCTCCAGCTCTTTTAGCTCTGCCTCTGCAGAGAATTCCTGTCAGCTTTGAATTTCTTTGATGTTTTGTGACACATGCTGCCTTGCTGTCTCTGGAGTCTCCATGGGATTAGAGATCACGTGCTACCTTAGCTTAATGTTCTTGACCTTTTTCAGATGATTGACACTGCTGAATTATTACAGCAAAGCAGCAATTACCCATGAGCTGTGTTATGTTCATTTCAAGGGGAAAATAATATTATTTGAGATGAGTAATCTGGACTRTATCTTTCTGCTGAGCAAACGTAGGAGACCTGCCTGTAGTGAGTCATGATTCCTTTCCCATTTGTTCTGGTTAGTGGTTCTTTCTGCACATTTCTGCAGTGCTCTTCCCCTTTTAAATGCTTTTCTGTGCTCTGATCCTGTGAGCCCACGTAGAGAGCGAARTATTTTGGGCTTGATCAGCAACATAAAATTCCTCGGGCTTGAATGTGGCAGGCATGCAATGTGTACCTTCTTACGTATTTAATAAAATAAAACAGGAGAAATGAAAGCACCCTAAGGCATCAGCAATATATTTATGGTGTGAGCACATAAAGTTCTATGGGGATTTTGTGCTCTTGCTTACATAGTGTTTTGTTGGTTTTTTTTTTTCTTCTTCTTCATTTTCTGTTCAGTGAATTTCCTACAAGAATTCTGTCAAGGTTTGGCTCATAAATAGGAATGAGTTTGGTAAAGTTCTTGTACACATAAAGCAAACAGCAACTTTACCAAATGTTCAATCCRAAGAGATCCATGTGTCTCTTCATGTTACTGTTTTGGAAGACATTTAACAGAACACCTGTCTGGCTTTAATGAAAGTTCACATACAAAGATGCAAATTTGAAGGAAAAAAAAATAGAAGTCTGGCACTGCATCATAAGGACTTTAGCATTGGGATTTCTTCCTGTATTAAGGGGTTGTGTATCTGTGATATTTAATCATCATTATTGAAATCAATACTGTTATCACTATTAACATTACAATAATCAATATGATATAACTTTGAAATTATAATAATTATACCATTAATGCTTGTTAATATTGTTGTTATGTTACCATAGCTCCTTTTTAAAAGTACTTTTTTTTTACCTGTAGGCCATCGAACATTGTTCATTGGGGTTCACGTGCCCTTGGGTGGAAGGAAAAGTCACCGACGCCATCGACACCGTGGGCATAAACACAGAAAGAGAGACAGAGAGCGAGATTCAGGATTAGAAGATGGGAGAGAATCTCCTCCTTTTGGTAAGACAAATTCTATTTCTGKATAGGTCTTTCAATAATAAACATCAGTATGAAGATGCATACTCTGTCCTGTTATCACTTGGACAGGGGTAGCAGCAGGGTTTTGGAGAATCCACCAGAACCTCTGCTGGYGATTGATTCCTTTGAACAAACCCCCTGAAGGGCAGCAGCCAGATGAGAAATCAGTAGATTCTAGCACTGAAGGAGCACAGTGRGAGACTCTTCCTAAGTGTTCTCAAAAAGAGAAGCTGCTGCCACCATGGAGGGGGGACCTGCCCTCAGAGAAGGCTCGGGGGTATTTGCCCCTAAAACATAACACGGGTCCTTTATAATTAGTTTTGTAATAATGATGTTACTGAAGTGTTTTATCAGATTCAAACTGTGATCCAGGTTGTGTTCACCTTTTTCCTATCATGACACTGTAAATATGCCATTGTGACATGAATCTGCTAACTGAGGGTGGGAGAGCAAGCAGGAAAAAATACCTTTCAGTAAAAAAATCTGATATGAAACTCCTAAAATTMTCAAAATTTGAAATTAGAAAACATTACAGAGAAGAGGAAAAGGGACTAATTTATAAATCAGTCAAGCTTTGTCTCAAAACATGACAATATTATGTGCTGTTCAAAAATAAATGTCCAAGGCTATGGTAAGTGTTTAAAATRTAATGGAAACATGTATAGAAAACAATTTGCTAGTGTGATTTTAAATCATTAGGGAAATGTGCCAGTGTAATTTTRGTTACAGAATAGTAATTGTAAGACTCTTTTAATCAGAAGTTTGTATTATGTATGTGGGAAGCTTTTGAGCAAGTATCTTGTAAATGCTGATGGCTAGAGCTTAAAATTCTTAAATCTTGCACAATGGTTTATTATACTGAGAATAAAACAAAGTCAAGACTTTTTTAAACTTAGCAGATACAAGTTATGTTTTGAAGACTGAACAGTGAAGTAAAAATTGGCTGTGTTCTGTCTGGAATGGATTTCAAATGTACARAGACCCAATACTATATTGAAACCAGTTTCTTGGAAAAAACCAAAGTTCATAAATTATTAAAACAGTTTTCAAAAAGAATATGCATATATACATATAAAGTCAGATTAAGAAGAAACAATTGAAAGTTACATTAGCCAAGAAGTGAGATATCTTGAACTATGAAACAGTGTCTTCTGTTGAGTCATCTGGTTTTATTTAAGTGCCAGTATGTGACACATTTTGGCTGAGAACTTAGCTCTGTTCTTTCAACTTCTGGAGACCTAGGCTTGTGTCCTTCTTAATGTCAAGAGTGAARAAAAAAAATTAACTGGCTGAATCTGTCCTTAATAGTTTTTGATATTTGTGTGTACAATTGAATGCAGTGTCTAATACAATCTTGTGTTGGGTAATAAATCAGCATATGTTCAAAGGATCTCTGAGGGTGAAATAGCATAATATGAAAGARGATAGTTTTGAAGTGCATTTGTAACTTCATGTTCACGGCACTAGTCCTCTGCTGTACCTCAAGAAATGAGTACAGGTCTGCAGTTTTTRAGTCACATTTTCACTTTTAAGCATACTATAACTACCAATTAAAGGCTGTGTGTAAGTGGTGTTGCTTGACAGATAAGTTACAGGTCAGAAATGTGGAAATCTTTCCATGATTCAGAATGCTGAAGATGCTCTTCAAAGTGCTTGGTCGATAACTATTCAAAGAATCCAAAGAACCACAAGTCTGGAAATATCCTAACTTTCACCCTGAATAATTATCTMAATAGTTAATTTAAAGGTTTTTCCCTTTTGTCTATCTGACTCCTGGATATTTGGCCAGTGAACCAGATTTCGAGCTTTGACATCTCTCCTTCCAGGAAGAAATGTGGCATTCTACAGACAAGAGTGAAGGGAATTTGCATAATGAAGGCAAATCTTAAAATGCTATGTGATGGTGAGGTTAAGCACGTAGATAGCAGGCAGACAAAAGAATACAGAGATTAATAGTAGTCTGTATCCACAGTCTTCTTTTACTGTGGTTTTTCCTCACAGGAGTTTCAGACAGCTTGTTGTGCTGCCTGGGGAGCAGCATTGCCTTTTGAGAGAATATAAGCACAGTTTTTCTATGCTTTATTTGCACAGAGGGAGCAACAGATACTTCCCACACTAAATCTGAACCTACTAAAGCTCAATAATGCTTTTTAGCTCTTTTTCCCCATGACTACGAGTTTCTAACAGTAACCAGAGGCTGAAGGAAACTTGAAGGAAGACAGATTTGATGCATAACTCAGTAKGAGGGACTGTATTACCTGAGAGAGTAGATCCAAACTAGTCCCTTAATTTATTAATCATTCTGATTTAATTGAGCAAGCAGGAATGCTTGGTTCCATCTCTCCATAGACACCTTTTAATGCATTTCTGCCAAACAGTAGAAGGCTGTGTGCCTGGGAACTGGAAGGGAGGAGGGGATAGAAAAAAACATTTTGATGAGCAGGTGCAAGAAGAAAAGATGGAGAAAATAAGCACTGTGAGACCAACTGATAGAAAACAGTGCTTTGAAGTAAGTCAGAAAAATACATAAGGATTTTTGTGRTACAAGAGAATAAATTAGCAGTGTTTTGAAGCAGTGAAGTATAAAAGGAGGTATAATAAAAGCAAAAGATCCAACAGCTGAATAATAGAGACTGGAACAAGTAAAGACCTGAAATATTCAGACATGAAGTGCTSTACACTGCTCAGCATGGGATAAAGCACTATTTTTTGTCATAATTTATACCTGTATAAATKATAACTTTATCTTTGCAGCACTATTACGTGCAGATCTTTCTGTGCTCTCGTGGCTCCAGGGAACTGTGCAGTGCTCGTTGTGGTGTGGGGTGTGTGAGCCCCATGAAGAGGTGACAGGGGCACCTGGTTCCTGTCCAGTAAAAAGCAATTTCTTMAACTGTTTTCTTTGCATCAGCTTGGCTAGAAAACACCTCTAGTCAGTGCAATGCCAATAGGTGGAAGCTTCCTGGTAATCCCTTTGAATCCTGGCTGGGAAGGCTTTATCAGCTGCTTTCTGGGAAGGTTTTTGTAGAGAATAGATTTTTAGGACATTCTGACATCAGCTCATAAGCTTTTWATTTTTTTTAGTATCTGTTAYTGTTGCTTTTCAAAAATAACCCGTGTTCTCAGTGTAAAGAATCAGAGATAACTCCAGATTAGACAAATAGTACGCAGAATTTGTAGTTAGTAGAATGAAAAGGAGTCCTGTCATTTAGGGGGACAGATCAGTTACTCAGGTTTGGGTTTTGTTTTCCCTATACCTGATTCCCACTGTCTGTCTGTTGCCTCTTGATGAGAAGAGGTTGCAAAAGGTGTTTCCATTTTGCAATAATGATGTGCCTGTAAATTGCACAATTTGCAGATTATGTGGTTTGTACATTGAGGAGCTTTTTTTTGGTTGTAAAAATTGTATGCTCAGTGATTTCAGCTTAAGTTTCTTCTTTTTAAAGAGAAGGGGAAATTCAGTGAATTTATCCACTCTAGCTAAAAATGCAGTAATGCTAGTTGTATTGTAAGGGTTTGCCAATCTCAGCTGAAATGCTGCCGCTGTAATTAAGGCCCCAGTTTCATTTTGCCTTCAGCTCCCCTTCTCCACAGCTCTCCTTGTGAGGCAGGTATTGTGATTGTGAGTTAAATTAGGGAATTGATGCAAATTAAAACTAATTTGACAAAAAAGAGAGCTGTTTCTAGTCTGGGGCATCTCCTGGGTGCTCCTTGCTGTGAACTGCAAGGCCACAAAGCTCCATCATTGCTGTGGGTGGTGSTGGCACCAAAAGCCTGGTGCAGATTTTGGCTGTTGGGGTTGCACTTGACTGGTGTCTGTGTAGATTTTAGTAGCAGTTTTCACAGGCTTTTTTGATGTCTGTTGTTTGTCTGTAACCAATGAAACAGCTCTTGGGTACCTGTGAGTTAAAGATATTTAAGTAGCTGTTTTAAAATGGTAGAATAAGAAGACTGAGCAGGGTGTCTTTAATGGCAGGTTTTGTTGGGGGTTAAAGTGAGCACAGCTGTGAGAGCTGTGCTCTGATTACAGYCTCATGTGTATCTTGTATGACTAAACACTATTGAGGCTTTGGGAAGGTTTGGTTTGTTCTTTTAAGAAATCTGGATTTAGTAATCCCTAGTTTTAAAGAGGCTTAAATTTGTAATTCATGATGTTGGATGAGGCAAGGCAAGCAGGGCAGCCCTGGAGGTGAACCTGACACAGGGCTCAGGRAAGGCTTCCTGTGGGTAATGCAAGCAAAAAAAGGGAATTGCTAAGGGGGGCTTCTCTTGGTCAGTAGAAGGACTTGAAGAAAGCAGGTTGAAAAGACCCAGCTGGCTGTGTTTGGTACCTAATCTCAAGTGCTAGGGGGTTATTAGCAGGGTAAATGGAATTATTTGTAAAGACTATGGCTGTTGAATTCACCTACTCTTAGCTAGAGACTTGTATGATAAAGGATGAACTCGGAAAATTGAATCTCTGGGCAGCTGTGGAACAGATTGCTGCAAATCTGGATTAAAATAATGTATCATAACTGCAGTTTTAAGAATTCAGCAAAAATAAGAGAATTAAAGCTTGGGAATTGTCCTTATTGTCAGATCCAAAAGAACTGATTKATGATTATTTGTTATAGCCCTGGGTTGACAGGAATAATTCACGTCAAGAAAATGCTGGGGCAGTTTCGTGACACAGATTGTACCTGTAGGGATAAAGCCAGAAAACAACCAAGGGAATATTTTCTCCCAACCCAACATGTGATTTCTAAGGTCTGTGAAGAGATTTTCAGAAGTGRCCTGTATGGCTGTTTGCTATTTTAGGTGGGCTTTAGTAATGCAATTTTTGTTTTAACTTTTACCATGTTTTCTAATTAAAACCAAAGAATTTAYGATCCCTGCCTTTACTGATTACTGAGCTAAGGGCAGAGTCCAGTCTGCAAAGGAAGTTTAGAGGAGAGTCCCCATCCACCACTTCTGTGGTGAGTACAAGCAGGAGGATGATGAATATTTGTGTCTAAAATGGTAATTTCTTTTCTCTGATCCTGTGCATTTTTCACACGCGTTCCCTTTGGCTTATAAGGGATTATTATTGATGCACATTGTTAGCTGTGTTATACCTGTTAACTCCCTGTCTGCTGTTTATCCTGTTCAGGGAGTAATTTAAAAAAAAAAAAAGTAGTGTGCATATTTAATATTATTTTAATGTGAAGGCATATGAGCACAAGGCATGGATTAAATCTYGTATATGTTGCTTACGTTCTTATGTGAATTTATGTAATGAAAGTTTTATTTTAACAGCATGTTTTTCTGCTGTAGAAAAAGTAATCTYTTACTCCTTCATCTGCTGACCCCAGTAAGAAGAGCTTGCCCACTAATTCTACCCTTAAATGCAGATTCGACAGGCTGAGAAATACAGAAACCTGTTCTGACAAGTGAGCTAAAAGAGTATTAGTAGAAATACAGTTTTGTACTCTTTCTAGAGTTTATGAAGAGCAGAGGACAGAATTTGGATACCCTTCATATGTATTTCTGCTTGTGATATTGCCTGGGTCGATGGTGTGCAGTTCTGCCCGATGGCTGGGTGATTTGTCCCAGATGAAACCCTGGCAGTCCCTGAGGAATCGTGGAKTACTCTGGCTGGTGTAGTGGAACAGAATTTATGTGAAGGGACTGAGAGTAACCCCGCTCTGGGGTCCTTTGTTACCCCAGACCAAGTCTTGATTTTGCCTTTCTCCCTYAGGCAAGAGGGAGCAGTCCTGGCCCAGAGATGTGTTTGCACTTGGAGATGTTTTAAATGGGAGAAACCTCAGTTATAGCTCCTTTCTGCACGAGTTTTGCAAGGTGGGATGGTGATGTAGGGCACTGTCACTGGCTGCACTGAGCACTGCTCCAGGGAGCAGCTCCTCATGTGTCCCTCTGGGAATGAGGGYATTAGGAATTCTGGCTTTCAAATCTGCTGGTTTGTTATGTCTGTGCCCACATATTGCACTTGTTTTAGGGACATTGATGGCTTTACAAGGTGTGGTAATATAGATCGGTATGTCAGGTTTCTGCAGGGTCACTACCATTCTGCAGCACTGAGTCTCAATTTGAATTTGTGTGTTCAATAGCTTAACCACCAGGTCTTAATTTTTACCCTTTTAATACACCAGTGAAATTAGCCAGATTTTTAAATGYGGAATACTCAGAATCTGCATGCAGATTGAGGTATCACAGGTAGTTTGGATGCAAGTGCAGCACTTACAAAATGAGCACAAGCCCAGAGGAACCAGGGATGAAACAGTGTCTGGTGCAGCCACAGCAAACACAAAGMTGCTTCAGTTTTCCTGACTGAGACTGCTCATCAGCCAAGCAGGAGTGCTTATTGATGGTACCCCTCCTCCTGTTGTTTACAAGACTTTCTACCCGGTTCTGGCTGGTCCTGGAGGATTTCCTGAACTGGTGATGAACTAGTTACTTGGGAGGCTCATCAGCTGCTTATTGTAAAACTTTAAAYTCGTGTTGCTTCTGATAACTAACTCTGATATAAAACAACTGCAGTCATAGAAATACTAGTGTAAAAGATTAATCTCACTCTTTAAATTTTTAGAAGATTAATCAAGATTGTTTTCATTACTTTTTAGAAATAGCAGTAATAGTATGAAGGATTTTTTTTTAATTCTGGCTCTGCTACTTGAAATAGGGATAGACAAAAATAATATTCAAGCCAATTTCTGTTTTCCTAGACTGCAGAAAACATTTTGTCCTAGTTTGCAAATATTATTCTTCTGCACTGAGGATTAAGTTATCAGTTTGACAGTCAGCAACTGAACTATTGTTTCATACTGATTTTGAATCCCAATTTTCTATATAACATATTAATGACATATTTGGTATTTGTTACTCCTATGAATATGAACCAAATGTATCTGGCATTGCTCATGAATTGTCCTGTAAATTCAGTCTTGTAGGTATAACCAACAGATCTGTTGTTTTTATTATAATTTTCSTGTTGTTTAAGTCTACTAGGGTTTTGTTCTTGAAATAAAATGATTGTGCTATAAAGCAAATGATAACTTTTTTTTTTCCAGCTTGTTGTGTGTAAATGAAGCTGGGACTTGCAGGTTTCAAATACCCATAAAAATTACAACAGTAAAGAAAGACAGAATCTAGCAGCTTTCTTTACTGCTTTGTTAACAAGAAGATAATTTAGTGCATGTTTTGTCATTTCTATAAATGTGGTGCTTAGGGGTGTGGTTTGGTGGTGGACTTGGCAGTKGTTGGACTCGATGTTGTTAGATGTCTTTTCAACCTAAAAGATTCTGATTCACTGTTGTCAGTCAAGTAGCTTGTTAYACAGAAGACCCAGCAAGATCAAATTCCTGCTGTAAGGTGATTCCTTGTTACTACTCACCTGACTTCAAGAGATTTCTGATCCCCTGCTTTTCTTCCCACGCTGAAAGCGTGTATTTGCATGAGGATCATAACTGTCATGAAGCTGCAGCTCCGTGGTACAACACTGCTCATTTATTACTTAACAGTAGCAGTTGCTGTAAATCAGCTCTAGTACTGATTTTATCAAGAGTACAGGATGTTCCTGGCAATGCTTAKTCTCTGATTCTAACTGCAGTCCAGCTCTCTACCAAAGTAGCTTGTTTTCCATGTTCTGTTGGTAGTCATATGCACTAATCCTTTGCAAATTCATATATCTCTGAATTTTGTCCTTCTGGAAAATAGTCTTAACAAGTGACATGATTCTTGATTAGAATGTATTTTCTAGCCTCAGATTAAAAAAAAAAAAAGGTAGAATGGTGTTAAAGAGAAAAAGAGGAATGAACAGTGAGAAAAGAGAAAGCAAAGAAAGAGTAAAGTGGAGGAGTTGGTTGCAGAGCTTCAGTGATTCACCAAAAGTAATTTCTGTGGCTGTACCCCCTGCTGTTCCATTCTCTAGAGCTCTGTAGTACCTGAGCCCATATCTCTCTCCCTCCTCTCCCGTGTTTCTTCTTGGGTTTAATTTCCTTGCTTTGTGAAGGGGTAAATAGGCTTGACTGTACTATATCTTTACACTATTTTTAAGCAAATAAACCTCAGGTGAAAACTGTCATATCTTGTTTAAATTGCCATAGCAAGTTTAGTACTACTATTGAAGAGGTATCTTTATTTCTGAATTTAATTTTCTGTGTCAGTGGCCCATTTCATTTGTTTGCTTCGGTRCTGTGTTTGCTCTTTAATTAGCATTCAATGAGTGTTATCTCAGTTTTTCCAAAATCCCAAGAGCTGGAGGACCCTATGCAGTGATGCTCTTTGCTATTAGATGGAATACTGTAGCCTTGTCTTACACATACGGTTATAGAACTGAACTTCATTTAGACAATGTTCAAGGAATCACTGAGCTGTTCTGCAGGATAATCAGTTTTTCAGTTGACTGGCAGCCTGGCCTCTGTCAGCTCTCATAAAGGACTTTGGGTTCCCTTCAGAAATCTGAAATGCATTAGTAGAAAAAGCACCTATGTATTGCTAGAGAGACTGCATTTCATCAGTTTGTTCATTCGAGATTTGCATTTAAATAAGGAAACAAAATTTTTTTTTTGTAATATATCACTTGAGCTATGAACATTGCATATACATGTATTCTAAGGTGCTCTGTGAGTTCAGGGAATTTTTTGAGTGAAAAAATTAAAGTAKGTCTCCAAAATATATTTAACCACTTGCACTGAAAGGTTATGAAAAGCTGTGACAGTACTGTAAGGGAAAACAGAGACAGGAATAAGAAAATGAGGAAGCTAGGACAGATTAAAAAGTTGTGTATCTCAAGCAGCCACAAAGGTAGAAAGAGGTTCTAATCAGGTAGAAACAGTTAACAAAGGGGCAGGGGATGGCATCAAGATTGCAGTTGCGTTTTGACATAAGACAGGTTTGATTAGTTTCATTTTTTTTTTTTTTTCCTACAGCAAAGATTTCACATTTAATGTGGTGGCTTTATGAGCTGAGATAGATCTGCAGATTTAGACTTATAAAAAGGCAAAGTAGTTTTTCTAACGCTGGGGTAAAAGACTTTTATCAGCTTTATTCAGCTTTATCTATGCTACTCTCTGTATGCCTTTTTTTTTTTTTTTGGGGGGGGGGGGGAGATACCATTTCAGCTTCCAATAGGCCCTGWTTCTATGCATCACTTTAWGTCTTGGGATGCATTTTTTAAACAGCAGACTTGACAACTACAGTAAATGAAGAGATCTCAGTCTGAATATGTTTATGTATAAATGAATGTTCTTACAGCAAAACTAATTTTTTTTTGTGTGGTAGTAAGTGATATGTGTGAAAGCATCTAGATAATTTAATGGTATTTTTTTCTCAGGGCAAAAAAAATTTGTGTTTTGGACTTGATATTTTTATTTTTCTYCAGATACCCCATCACAAAGGGTGCAGTTTATTCTTGGAACAGAAGATGATGATGAGGAACACATTCCTCATGATCTCTTTACTGAGCTTGATGARATTTGTTGGCGTGAAGGAGAGGATGCGGAGTGGAGGGAGACAGCAAGGTGAGTCTTAAYGACTTTAAAATTATCTGTAGGTATTGGTTGCTGCTGGATTGGGGAATGATTTCAAAGCTGTGGCAAGCTCAGGGACAGATTTTGGACATAAAGCTTAAATAAAACCATAATTTTAATCCTTWGTCTGCTAGTATTGCAACAGCATTTGTCGTTTCCCAGAGCCAAATGTTTTCATCTGGATTTGTGAATATAGGTCAGGGTGAATACCAATCGGAAAAAATTAATGTAATATATCATATATGTGAATTGAAAATCATTGGGTCAATTAATATTTTATCTCATAATTTTAAGAATCTTTAAAATTTATATTTTGCTTGAATCCTCAAGCAAGTGATAAAGGTACTATTATAAAAAGATTAAAGCAAGGAATAGGATTACTTTTGGAGCAATAAAACTTTTACATGTTCTAACTCTCAATGAGCAGTTTATTTTGAGAATGAGTATTCAGTGTTGAATTATTTTATTTCTGCAAAATTARTGTGAAAGACTGTTTAGATTGCATTTCTGCTGGGAAAACAAAATTCTGATACAGAACTTTTAATTGTGTATTTTTTCCTTTGAGCACTTAAATAGGAGATGATTTGTTTAGTTTCATAAAGRATTTACATTTTCCAGCAATCTTTGMTTCATTTTTCTTCTTGGATCCTTAATTCTTTCTCTCCCTGCCAGTTGTTGACCAAGTTCCTCAATGGTGCCCAAAAGTCTGTAATACATATTTGGTGTCAGTAGAATAAAAATTGCAGGATTTCTGAAAGGTTGTTGTGGGTAACTATGTATGTGGGCTGTTTGACATGAATATGGTTTAGTTTTTTCTGTAATTTTATTGCAAAATTCTTTTTTCCCAGAAGGCCAAGAATTTTCTGTGACCTTGCCTTCCATTATCTGTTCACAGGCAGCATAGACAAATGCTAAATATAGATCTKTATGTGTAGAAAATTCTCATATGGGGATTGTGCTCCAAAAGGAATGCAGTAGTGTTCCTAAATAATCTTATTAATATTCAGAGAGAGAAAATCTAATCATGGTAATCATCTGCARTGTTCTCATACTGATTAAGAATACACAGAACCTCTCTAGCAGGGGCATCAGCTTCTATTGTGATTAAAAAGTAAAAATCACAGTGTTATTTTTTAAGCAGGGAAATAGCAACTTCTTTAGCTCAGCTTAAAATATCCCTTTACAAACTATCAAAGATTTGTGTTTCCGAAAATTTCTGTTGGAGGGTGGTTCTGATCAAGATAGAATTCAAAAGGAGTAGGTGAAATAAATTCCTGTTTTKCTTGATCTGTCTGTATGTACAGCCTTCTTTGTTGTTTGTGAAAGAAAGAATTAAAAATGTTTAATGGAAACAAGATGAAATTGTTGAAAAAGGACAGGAARAAACAGCCAAGAGAACAATATTTCTGGAGCTCAGAAGGTACAAGAATGACATAATAGTGAATAGTAAAAAATTCTTTAGCTTTAGCAGTAAGATGAAAGCAAAGGAAGACTGCTCTGTGGAAAGAACTGGTCAAGAAAAATGATCTTTTCCAGTCTGGATCTGAAAATTTCAGACTGCATTTGACATGGGGTGACTGGTTGGAAAAGGAGGAAATGGCAAGGAAATGACTAAACTGAAAATGAGAACAAGACTGAAAGTGCTTTTCTGTGCAAATAAGAGGGTGCAATAATAATTTCCATCCTTGAAAGCTGAAAGAACATGTGTTTCATGGACAGGGCAATTCCTGAATTGTGTGTCTTTCTGTGACTCTGTCAGGTGTGTTGTTCTAATCCAAACACAGCAATACTATTAAAAAAAAAGGATAAAAATGGTTGGGACAAACAGAGGCCTTATTGTCCAATTTCTGAGCCATACAAGGCTTGGAACAATGCTTGAAGGAAAGAAAAATTCTAGACTTGGAGCTAAGTGGAAAATTGGATAAAATGCAATACAGTGGTATTTCATGTCAGACTAAGTTAATAATGCTCTTTAATCAGATAATTGATTTTTGCTTTTCTTGCGAAGAGAAAAACAGTGGATCTAAATTTTTTAAAGTAGAGCATTTGATATGGTAGATTGGTGGGAATGTATAACTTAAACTGCATTCTAGTGTAAAAATTCTATTAACAGGTCAGGAACTATTTGAAGAGGTGCAGCAAGTCATGCTGAGAGATTATACTATTAGTGTGAAAGGTAATGACAGCTCACTTCTGAAGAATTAGGCTTAGTAAATAGATTTATTATTGAATGAAAAAATAGGATTTTAATAATGAAACTGGCTGATGATAAGAAATTAGGAGGTATTACTCCTCTAGCAATAGATAAAGATATACATGAAGAACAAGGTGGCTTTGAGTAGAAATAGGATGGTGTTTAAGATGCAAGATCATGTGCTTAGAACCTAATACAGTGGATCAATTTAAATGCCTGTGGTTGATTCAGGACTTCAAAATTATTGATTTGACTAAAAGCATGACTATGGAGAAAATACAACCTGAATTTGTTGCTGTTCAGGCTTATATGCTTTTTCATCTGTGTGCAAAATGTCACTTCGAAATATTTGTAAATCTTGCTGTCTGGCTTTGGATGTAATTCCAGGTAGAGATTAATTTAATGAGAGTGAAAAGCACTAAGTGGTTGTCTATTCATTTCACCAAGCTCTGCACTTGCACTGAAGTGTTGGGTTAACTCTGACAAAGTCCATCTGTATCTTGGCATTTTCAGTTTGATTGAAGGTGCACTGGAGTCTTCCATTCCAGGATTTGATTTAAATGTCCTGTCCATGGAATTACTTAAAGAGCAGAATGGAATTAAGGGCTTGGTTGTATTGATAGAGGGATAAAATTATTTTTTTTTCCCATCAATTGATTGGGAAAAAAAAGCAATAGTCATTCTCAAAAAATAATAGTTTTTGTATGTGGCCCAGCTGTACAGTCATGCATTCTCTATGGAGATGACATGTGGTTTCTATTCTGAAAAAAAAATTCAGTAAGTTTGTGGAGAAATACACTGAAGTGTAATAGATTTATTTTATACACCCAGTAATGTAACTCCAAGTTGCAGCTTTTGGGAAAGCAATTCATGTATTTAGGCTGAAAAGTGGTGCCTGATTTGTAGCAAGTTTTGCCCAAACTTTTGTGACTCATTTATTTGCTAATATCAACCAAAAATATCTGGAGAATATAACTGTCTTTATGGAACAGAAAAAATTGTGTAGCAAGGAGGAAAATAGAAAGAAGCTTTGAACCAGGAGGAAAGTGCTTAGGCTTCAATTTTAATACACAGYTAGGAAAATAAACTGGTGTCCATACTTTAGAAAGTAAATTGTTAATAGTGGYTAGAAAGTAGATGGGTTTGGGAAATTGAGGAAGTGTAATGCATTTTCCCTGGATCAGAACTTTCTTCCAAARAAACTATTTCATAAGAAACATCGGTTTCTCACTTCTGCTGTGTTCCTGATGTTCCTGCCATGCTTGTGGTCTTTGATTGGTTTTCAGATCAGTGCAGGCAGGCACAATCTCATGTGGAAATTTATTCAGATTGTAAGATTACATTAGARCCATTGACTGTTGTGTGAGTTGTGAGTACCTGCTCCATCTCCCTGCTGCAGACATACCACACTRTGAAATAGAAGAAATACAAATCACCCACTTCCCACTGTGCAGAAAATGCAGTAATTGAGTTTAAAATGAGGCATGTGCACTCTTTGATTGATGGCTGAGTAATCGATGGAGATGGCTTTAGAAGCTGGGRCACATTTGTGTGGTGTATGCACGCACACTTTCCCGAGTAATATTTTTCCTATAGTAACATACATTGCTGGCACTCTTGTTCACATATCTTTTTGTAGCAAGTCTCCTATGAGAGGAATTAAACTGTGTGATCGATAGACCTACGCCAGCCTATACCAGTAAAAGAAAACTGTAAGAATGAAGGAGCTCTTCTRTGCAATCAGACGTAGCTAAGATAGCTCCTGATATCATCCAGTTACATGGGATACATGTGACATGAGCTCAATATACGAAAGGGATCAATGGTGCTTCCCAGGAACTTGGGGATTTAAAGGGTTAAATAGCAAAAGTTGGTATATTYAAATTTGTTTTTGAGAAACTAAAAGGAATACAAAATTGGCTGACTGGGAGGCTAATCCTGAATTTGGATTTCAAAGCCCATTTCTGTGTTTGAGTCTTGCACATGAATTCAGAGGATTGTTCAAATAGTATTATGATTTTTAAAACCACCGAACACTTAGAATTGAAAGACTGTGCATAAGATTAGAGTTGTTTTATGTTTTCTGCTACTGTTTCTGTGATATGTTRAATAAGGACTATCTGACATAACAAGAATATTTCTGAAAAGATAAAAGGTGATAAACAGTAACATAATGTTCCCTTGATGAAACTAGTAAACCTATGCTTATTAAAATCAAAATAGAAATTTATTCCAAACGTAGAATGCTCTCAGCTGGRTATGATTTAATGCCATGTCCTGGCCTGTTGGCTTATTAAATAATAATGTATGATAATGTGTTTAAACACATAAGTTTCAGCAGCAGTAGGAAATGGGATACAACCCACAGAATTACACTATTCCAGTTCATGGAAACCYAAATGATCACAATGGCAAGTATTTGAGCAGTAGCAATTGTTTTCTGTGGATTTTTATGTATCAATATGTAAGTTCTGATGTCTGACACAAAAACTCTAATTAAAACTGTTTTCATGATTTAGACTTGTCTGTGTATGTTACAAGTTCTGGTAATAAGCCTGTCTCTGTCCAATCACCTGTCTTAAACTTTTACGAATCTGTTTSTCTTTTACTGCCCTAAAATCTGTTTACAATCGGTCAGTAGATTTAAATTAGTTGCTATCAAGGACAGACTACAGCAGCATAATCAGATAAGCAATGTTGAAGATTTATTTACATGAACAGAATGTAATGACAGTGTGAGGCTTCTGATTATATTTTGTAAAAACCTATGCTTGGATCATTGATTTTAGAATACATGTAGCATGATTTTTACTCTTTTTTTTCTGAATAAACATAAAAGAAGATATAACAAGCTAAGCAAGATATAATAAGCAAGAAATAATAAKAATAATAATACATAAGAATAAATACATAATTAAGAATTGATGCGTAATACTATGTTCCTATTAATACATGGTAGCAGAAATAATTATGAATACTCAAGCATGAAGATCTTATAAATCTCCTAAAGAGATTAGAGACGTGCAAAAACTGAGGTATGAGAAGAGAAAAATGTAGGTATTTTGCAGAGCCTTGGGAGACAATAGTTTAAGCAGGACAATAAATGCACTGTATTTGTGATGTGGACACGAATAGGTATTCCATGTTTTTCAGCTTGGAAACAAGAGAGTCATGAGTAAGATAGGAGCATCCTCTTAGAGAGTTCAAGTGGAACTGCAAAATAAAAAATTAAGAACTGTTTTTCCTTCTCACATACTTCTTGATAACTTTCCTGAGTTGTTGTAGGTCACCCTTTTCAAAGTATCTCTTTGAATTTGGTGGGGGAGGAGTGTGTTAAGTTGTGTTTGATGTCCATTTGGACATAGTTTTGAAAATTTATTTGGAAAACCTCATTTGCATATTCAAATTCAATTTTGTGGTTTGGCTCTGTGGAAGCAAATTTTTGTATGTGCTGTGTCCTTCTTGCTACTTCTCTGGAGCAGGGTAAAGGTGAAAGGGGGTGGGAAGAGAAAAGAGATTGCAACAAAGGGAGTGGGGAACAGGTCTGGTGAAGAGGAAAGCGTTCCATGGGCAGAGACAAGATACAGAAACTGGCCAATTTCCTCAAAGAGGAAATGGAGGGAAAATGTTTAGATAGACAGAGGAGGAGAGGGCTAGGCACAGGAGATTGGAGATTTTCAAGGACCCAAGGAGTTGAAGCAAATTGTCTCTATAATTAATGAGAAAATGATAAGAAGGAAGCTGGGACAGTTCCAAGAAATGGAATACATTAGGAAGGGAGCAGATATGCTGCTGATGAATGAGTCAGTGAAGTGGTGGCTGCAAGCAGGATGGCAGCAAAAGGGGAAGAATTTGGTACACAAGGACTGAAAGGAGGAAAGTGTCTAAAATGTGGGTACACTTGCATATTTTACAAGTAGGAGCAGAGTTGGACAGGTGGCCCAGGAACAGAAGAGGACAGCTGTACTTCTGCATTGCTGGGCTGTGAGGCTTGGTAAAACTGGAAATTCCTCAGCTTTAGAGGTCCTAAGGCTTTACACTTCCCTGCTGTTTGGAAATAGGTGTGAAGATGYTGTCAGGGTGTGAGGCTCTGCTTGACTTCTCTGCTGCCATGTCCATATAAAGTAGCTGAGTGCTGTTGAGTCAAGAGATACAGGTGTGTGCTGTGACTGCAGCTGTTCAAACCTTGCCAAGCTGGAAACTTGCAGGGCTCCACACAGCAATGTGTGACTTCTCAGAATTTTGTTTGTTTAATACTCTTTTAACATTTTAAGTTTATAATTCAGTAGAGAATTCAGTCTCAAGCAAGTTCATCTGGCTGGATGGTAATAAAAGACTTGATCCTTTCATGCCAGTTTTGTGTATCCTTTTACTGTACTGAAGTCTCTCCAGATTCCCTTTTGTACCTCTTGTTATACTATCACAGAAATATTGTACACCRAAGAATTTGTCAAAGTTCTTGTAGAGTACAAAGAAGATTGCTTAATATGTTTCTCTCTTCATCTCTGTGGTCAGAACTTATCCTCAAAAATGGCATAATACAGCATTATATGGAAAGAAGTAGCCAAAGAAGGGTTTTCATATTTCCTAAAAAGGGAGAAAAAATGAAATACAAAGACATATTTAAGTCTTTTTTCTGTATTTTCCATATCCATAGAAGCAATTATTTTTTTTTTCATTTCTTATGCACAATGGAGTTATAAAATTGATTTTTTGTGTAGGTGGTTGAAGTTTGAAGAAGATGTAGAGGATGGTGGAGAGAGGTGGAGCAAACCATACGTTGCCACACTGTCACTTCATAGCTTGTTTGAGCTGAGAAGCTGCATCCTGAATGGCACAGTTCTTTTGGACATGAGAGCTAACTCCATAGAAGAAATTGCAGGTATGTATTGATGTTTCATTTACTGGTTATGAAATTAATCATAAAAATTAAATGCTTATGAGAAGGTTATTGCATAATAATCAGTTCAGTTTAGAAACTCCTAGTAAAGTTTTTCTCAATGTATTAGAAAAGAAACTCATGTCTGGCCCAGCTAGTAAATATTCTGTTTATATTTTTTATGTGGTATCTGCTGCTTTAAGAATCAATTTTTGTATAAAGAAGAAAATTAAAATGGAGGAAAGAGGAGAGTTTGGTCAGTTTTAATTAGAGCTGGCATGTTCTCTGCTCCTGCCATGCTGCCTCATGTGAATGAGGCTTGTGCTGACTTCTACAAACTTAATCTACTCCTATGCCAATTTCAGGCAATCTAGAGAAAAAAAATAAAAACAACCAAAAATACAGGGGTGATTAATTGTAAATAAGTTGCATGAAAATAGACATGTCTCTGAGTTGAGAATGAAATCAGGAGGAATGATATAAAGTGTAAGGTTTAAAAGAAACTTTAGTTGCATTAACTTCTTAAGATAAAGTTGAGTACATTTTTCCTAATAGAAGTGTATTTGGCAGTTGCAATTCTAAAGCTTTTGAGAGCTTTTGAGCCAGAGAGAACATAATGGATGAGTCTGTCCCAAAAGTATAAGGGAGAATGAGACTAATGCCATTTTCCGCTTTCCTGGTGTTTCCCTTGAAGACTGTAATTAGTTCAGGTAAAGATACAAAGGACAAAGCAAATAAAATTTTCAAATGCTCAAGATTATCAGGAAAGCTATTTTATGGGTGATGTATAAATTATGTAAGTGTGATGTAAAATTTATTTTACTTACTTAAATTATAAGGGAGGTATTGTTTGGGCTATATTTAATAGTGGAATTAAAATTGGCTCCCATAGGGGTAACTGCTTTTTCCTATTTACTTTTCCCAAATTGTTTATGTCAAACTGACGCAAGATATTATTAATACAAATCTGCAGAAACGTGTGTGGGTTTCTACTCTGTGCCGAGATCTGATTCTTCCATGACTCATAGTCTGAATCAGAGCTTCARAATTTGTCTTGATAATGATAAAAGATAAACACAAAGAATAAAAAGAAGCTGATTTGAAAGAACAAAGGTGTCGATCAGTTTGTTGTCTTATTATTTATTTATAAATAATTAATAAGTACTTAGATCAGCTGCTTGATGTTCTTGTATTACTTTTTTGCTTAAGTAGTGCACTGGGATTTTCAATCTTGAGCTTTACATTCTTAATCCAGAAATCACTCAACTTTGTCCATAGTTGGCTAAGAAAGGCCTTCCAGAATTGTTTTTATTTAAATAGGTAAAAAAGTAAGGATTAATGCAAAAAACCCAGCTTCAGTGAGCATCCCTTTTTTTTTTTTTTTTTTTTTTTTTTTGAAGGTTTTTTTTATTTTCCAATATTGTGAGGCCATAATTAATTAATGTTTAGAATCTCTTAATCCTTAGTTGTAGTGATTTTGTTTTAGTTAATGTAGCCAAGGATTTGAGAATTTGTAATACTAATATTGAAACTCTCCACAGATGTAAGTTGTTCTTTAGTAGAGAATTTGGGGAGTTACCCTCATGCAATTTTMAGTCAGCCCTAGTTGTGGCTTATCTTGATTTGTTGATTAGGAAAACTTATTTCTTCTGAGAACAGGCTTTAGGATGGCTTTCCTTAATTGGCACATACCATTTTCATTTAAAAAGAATCTGTTGTTGTGGCAGATGTGGATGCATTTTATGTCTTACATTATTTGCTTGAAGTGGTAGGCCTCCCTTTCTGATAAGGTGACCTGACACATGATAAGGTTTGCAGGGGTTGTGCTTTGTCTTCGMGAGAAGATTATATTTTTCCTCCTCTGCAGATTCAATAAGCAATGAGCTATTCTTTTTTAAAMAGCTTTGCAGCAGGTGCTTCTGGCAAGTGAATCATTCTGTGAATTATTCACGTTCTGTCAGGTTTCTTTGAAGAGATTTTATTTTTTAAAAAATTTTCTCAAGAAATARAATTGCTACTCCAGTTGCTTTTCTCTCTTAGCATTACTTCTGCTGCAGCAWTGCTGTTTTCCTTTTCTTCAGTCAAGTTCCTTTGTAATTTGTTCCTCTAATGCTGTGTGTGGAATCCCTGGTCTGCAGTGATTAGAGAATGTGCCAAAGAGTGTGGCACACAGGAGGCAGCGCTGTGAGAGGGAAGGACTGATAGTGGTGGCAACGAGCACGCCACCGAGGTGTGTGCCACGTATCTTAGAAATGTGGTATCTCCAAAAATTATGGCAGGCAGCTCTTTTTACATAGAAGTGATGGCTRAAGATTTCAGGCAACAGAAGTGACTTCTGGACCTAAAGATGAGGCAGAACTGGTACTTTCAGGAAATCCTTTATTGTCTGTTGCTATTCCTTGTCAATAGTTATAATCCTACTTACATTGCACTATACAATACAAATACTGTTTTCACCAGGTACTGATATGTATTCCAGTTGTACCTGATAGTCCTGACAATTTAGAATTTAAAGAAATTGTCACTCTCACCCGTTAATTTCAATTTTATTCAACATTCAGCTCTTGTTATTTGGATTGCTAGCATTCTCATGCCTGGCTTGTCCAGCAATCCTGGTAATCACTTTTTGTTTTGTTTCACTATTGCTGTGTACACCACCTTTAGCAGAGTTTGTGAAAACAGGTTATACCCTATGGTTTGARGTGGTACTCTTGAATTAACTTTGATTCTTGTGCTTCTGATTCATGGTTTAAAGTTTTGGGTATTTTTTAATGCAATCTTTTGATAATGCTACTGCATTACTATAATACATCATCCTTTGAGAACAAATACATTATTTGTGCACGTGTACTTTCTTCTTACTTCCCTAATGCTTTGTTAGTGAGAAATGTGTGCTGTGTATTTGTTGGTAGTGTCTTGCTATCTGGGCTATATTCCAATATYAAATTACATTTCTATTAATGCAGTGCCAGTCTTCATATCCTTGAAAGAGGAATACTTAATCTTCCTTGCTAAATTGAGACTAAGAATTCCTATTTGTTTTAGTCAAGGCTTTTAATCTATAAACACTTATTCACCAAGGCACTAAACTCTCAGCACTTAGCCCTTGAGAATTTCTATTATTAAAGTCTGTGTTTTAAARCATTAATGGACTTGTGGTAAAATCTACAGATAAAAGCCACCTTTTATAATGCTTGCATGGTTTCCAGAACCTTTTGTGTTTTATCCCTGGAAACTCTGATAGTTCTGCATAAAAATATTTAGATGTCGTTTATGTCATGAGAAGTTTTGCATCATCCTGTATTCCAGTACATCCATTCTCTGTTTTTTCTTTTCATTCCAACTGTCATATTAAAAAAAAAAAATCATATAGAGGATTGTGTATTTCTTTGGACAGGCACACGGTTTTCTTTGTTGCTAAAGAGCTTATTCATACCTATAGTGCTGAATTCACAGACAGCATCTTGTTATAATAGAGACTTCTGAGATGAACTTCCAACACTGCCATCATGCATCAGAACAACATATTTGTCCCTAAATTTTCTCAAATTATTCTTAATTTTTTGTATGATGGATTTTCTTTCTCTTGAAAGAAGCTCATTTCCTCTACTGAACTTTATCTGATTGAAAAATACAATTTTTATTAAACATATTTTAGGGAAATTATTACTATTTCTAATATGTGATGTTATTTTTTCATGTGCCTTYGCAGTGACTCCTAAATCAGTAAGTTAGCACTCCATGCACAAGGAATTCCTTCGAACATTATGTAGTAATATTTTATCGATCACTTCTGTATCGAACATATGCTAAAAGGAAGTCTGAAAAATCTATGTAATCAAAACAATTTATTTTGGAACTTGTCTCTTGAGGAGGTATTTGCCAGAATCTGGCTGTACCATTAGAGAGCAGCTTCACTGTGTTGTTCAAGTTGGCAGATGAAAATGTTCTCTTTTGATATTTTCATTTAGTTCCTTTGAAACCATGTAGAGTCTCAGATTACCATCTGGTTTTTTGATTATAACCACTGAATGAACCCAAAAGGTTCCTCTATTTAACATATGATGCCATTTTCTGTTGTTTGGTTCAAAAACTATTCAGTCCAGCCTTTAATGGCAATACTTTCTTTACAGCATGAGCCRCAGAACTTGCATATTCTTGTAGTTATGCAGAGTGTTCTGTGAACAAATGTCAAACCTTGTCAAATACAAACTGTGGCCTCTGTTGCACAGTGGAGCTTTGGTGATTTGCACTTATTTCAAATATTCCCGTTTGTTTAAAATGATTTAATTGTAATAATGGTTTCTTTTTAAAAGGAAATTTTAGATTTGCCCTTGCTTTCCAATCTCAAGATCTGGCTGTTTTTTGCCAAGCAGTCTTTTGTATGTTCCTCACGATCGAATTTTCCATCTGTGTAACRGCTTAATCTTGTGATTGAGGTCACCGGACTCTGTGCTCAGCAACTCAGGGCATTACATCCCAAGTGTGCAGTTTTATTGATTTTGTTAATATCATGTTAAGCTTTCAATCTGAACAAGTCTCCTTTTGCCTTTGTTTGCTTTAAGGTATATTACTCCATAATAATGACGTATTTTAACTGGCTCAAGTTGAGATTTTATTTCACTGGAGCCTTTTGTTTCATCTAAAACACTCATATTGTGTTATGTTTCTGACAGTGCTTTTATGGTACATTTAACTTTTATTRCAAACACTGTAATAAAGCGTGGGATTGCCTGTGAGTAATCTGCTTCTCTGTTTGACCCTACACCTGTCTTTTGCTCAGCTTTCACCTTCTCACTTACCCAGGTTTTTACATTCGTTTGCTTTATTTTCAGCTTAGCATGTGGTAATAACCTCTACAGAGAAACTATTCGGTTTTGTTTCTTTGTCCGTAGCTAAATTGTAAATCTCGTACCAACTTTTAAGCAGCATGTCTTTTTGCTGTTGTTGTTTTGTGTTTTCCTATTTTAACAACAAATGTGGGAATCTTTTTAGATTGCACAAGTCAATCTCAGCTTGCAAAATTTATTTTTTTTTTATGAGGCATCCATTGTGGCTGCAGTTCTGAACTGCAAGCTGGGAATTTTGGCCTTGTCTCTACAATTTACAGTTTTGTGAAATACATGCTCTTGTTCCTCATAAAATTGCATAGTGTTATTTTGGAAAGTAGACAGTTTTCGTTCTTTCTTTCTTTTTCAAATATTTTAACTGAAAACTTGAACCAAATAATTTCAGATAAAGCTGGAAATAGAATCTGTGTCTCRGAGTGCTGGAATGCTCTGCCCTCTTGGATGAGCAGCTAAATCTGCTGGCTTAGATAGCTTGTTTATAATCAGCATTGTAAACRATGTAAATGGGTCTTGGTTCAGCAGCACAGCCCAGGAATTCTGATTGTTGGGTTTGTAGAGCTCCTAGTACCTGACTCACTCGGGAAGGAAATATTTGGGTTCCTCTTTAGAGATGCACTAAGGTAAAGGACAGTGTTTTAACTGATGGTATTCCACAAACCAATGCATTAGGATTGCTTGTGTTTTCCTCTTCCCTGTCCTTAAGGGGAATGACCACAAGCCAGAAAAACCTTGGCTTTTAAAATAGGTTTTGTCAGCTATCACAGAAATCATGATCCACAGAAAATCCTATGTGTTTTGTATTTCGTCATAAATCTCTCATTTTGTCTTGCAATTGTACACTTAGAAAATTTGGARATGTTACTGGCACACTTACTTGTATATACTGAATTCAGTTTCTGCTGTAAACTGTCAGTGCCAGCCTATATCAGGAGAGTACGAGCCCAGCAATTTTTTTTTTGGACTTCACAGGTATTTTGATACAAATGGAGTATGTTTTATATAAATGTATTCTGTGTTTCATCTGAACATTGTGTGTGTATTTCATGTGAGGTGATGAGCACTCTGTGAACCTGGTGCAGTGGGGAATGAGCTGTGGCCACACTCGAGGACCTCCTTATTGTCCATTTGCTTGGGCTTGTGGTGAGCACATGGTGCTGGCCACGAGTCTGCACAAAGCTGCAGTGTGTRACAGATACCTCCAGAGTGAGTGGAAGCAGCCAGCCTGCTTTAGCACCCTTGCTGACTCTAGAGGTGGGACAGATGGGATTKTCTTTGCTGGGCCACAAGTGAGTGACACTGCATTTGAACTGATACAAATTCTCTGCAYCCCAGTGCTGTAATTCACAGCCTGGGTAAATTGTTCACAGGTGATGATGAGTTATAGTTGAGTTACTATAATAGCTTGTTAAAGTACTCACATGGCTCACATTTACTCACAAAATTAATTTTATATAGATGAGGTATTGTAACTGAGTCTGAATGGAGAAAACATTGTTGAAATTGTATGAAACCCCAAGTTCTTTTGAATTATTTTAAATGAGCAGGTCAAGGAGAATATCTGCCTTTAACAGCTTGAAAAAATGATTTAATGGTTCCAGCATTAATCAAGATTCCTTACTGAAGAAATGTCCTACTTCAGTGTACTTGATGTCAGCAGAAATATTATGGTGAGAGCATTTAATAGAAGGATAAATGTGCTGGTGGATRTTCCACAGGTCACATCTTTCTGACAGCTTTGTGTGGTAGTGAAGCATCCTTGAAAAATGTAGTAGTACACTGTATCTCTGGCTAGAAGGGGACTGTGCAGAATTTAAAAGGGCATTCAAGAGGAAAATTCTTTAAAATAAAGATTCTTTACTCTTTTTTGTCACACGGAGTGTGAAGAAATGGCTACCTGTTCTAGATACAAAAGTGAAGGCCAGGGCTTTGAAAGTATGTACAGCTTCAACTGATGTGAGCATGTAGACTCTGCTGCTCACAGGATTAAGGAATTACAGTCTATTCTGAAAATTAAATGTCTAAAGTGCTCCTGTTAGCCATTTACTCTTTCTAATTTACTTTAGAAAGAAAGGCATTTACTGTCTTTCCAATCAAGGGTGTTATTGATATTGMAGGGGCTTGGGCTTTTAAAAAATATTTTGAGAAGCTTGGGAAGAAACTGAGAAGGAATCCCATAATGATAGGGGCAGATGGACAGTCTTTCTTACTCCTGTTCAGATCTGTTCAGGGCTTGGAAAAAGGGTCAAAATACAGCAATCTGTCAGAAATTTGACTGTGTTTAAGGTCCTACAGCTGCTACTGCAATTGGGTCTATGGCAAGAGAATGACCACTGGAGGGACATATCAAAACAAGAAAACACATCTTCCCTCTTTCCAAAGCTGAATGCATCTTCCTTTTTAACATGTGGTAGCAGTGCTACAATAAAAGGGAAACTGCTGTAAAAATCCCCCCAAAAATCAAGGTGAGCCTCTTTTTTCTCTCTGGCAGGAAATCAGAATTGTTAGTTGCCACACTGACACCAACTGTGTGGCTCCTGTGGCTGTTACAAGTTTAGCAGAGCATCTAGGCAACGAAGAGGACAGGGATTTGATTTTCTTTTTCCTGTCATATTTTCTCCTYAAATGGATAATCTTAAATATTGACATCATCCTCAGCAGTTAACATATTTTACTATTTAATGTGGAAAATACTGTTATTCCAGGAATGACACCATACCAGTGGAGTTCTACTGATCTGTAAGCAAATGGATGACCACAACTGTAAATTTATTTGTTCTATAGGAATCTTTTTTTTTTCCAGCTTTTCCTTTTGATATCTGTCTTAGATCAACTCAAAGAAGTTAATATTTGATTTTGCACCTTCTACAGTTTGTGTTTTGTTCAACAGAGTTAAAAAGGAAAGAACAGAGGGTARTTTAAATTGTGCTTTAGCACAGATGCCCTGAGTTATAAATTTATTATTTACTATTTATTTTTTTCCTTTGAAGATCCCCTGTCATATTACATAAAGTACTGTCCTGTTTTGGGAATTATAACATGCAAATTCATGTACTAAGAGTGTCTAAAAGGAAGATAGTCATATCCTTAGGGCAGAGGCATGTTTCAAAAGGCAATAGAGTAGAGGAGRAAACTAAATATTTTTCTTGGAGCTGGAGCTTGCTTTTCATTTTTCATGTGTTGCAAATTCTTGCCTCCTGCCTAAAATATTCTACTATTTTGTGTGCGTGTCCTCTTAGAGATGTAGATTCATTGGTAGCTTCCTCATCATAAGTGAAACATGCAGGTTTTTTGTTGTTCAGCTCTCAAGCAGCTGTGATCCATTGGCTTATGTTGATACTGAAAACTTCAGAAAAACTTGTGTATTTTAAGTGTATGTGCATAGGTGACTGTTAGCAATTAAACTGTGTATTTRATCAGCATAGTTATTTAATGCTTTTTATTGTCTATCTTCTATTGCTCTTGGCAGTTATCAAAGACATGACATTATGATGCATCTGCTTTTTATTTTTTCTGCTCTGCTTGCTTTTCCACTGAGTTTACTGGTAGATATGACTCTGGCTCCAGCACAGAATCATGAGCTGTCTGGATTTTCAGTACAGAGAGTTTTGGATTTAGCTTATTATATCACTGTTTTTGTGCAGTACAGTTTCTTCCAAATGAAATACAAGGGGAGCGTGTACTTAAATGCTGTTATACTTCCTTTGATAGAGAATTAATGTTTTTTCCTTTATTTTTCTATTAAGCATTGTTTCTGTTGGTAGCAGTACTTCCCCAAATAATAATTTTTTWAAAATCCCACAGAATTCTCAATTCTTTCCCATTTGAAACACATTATGCGTGTTGTATGATCATGGAATCAGAGTGATTTGGGTTGGAAGTGGACCTTGAATGTATCTGGTTCCAACTCGCCTGCAGTAGGCAGGGCCAGCTTTAACCAGGCTGTTCAGAGCCCCATCCAGCCTGGCCTGGAACAGGGATGTGGCATCCACAGTTTCCCTGAGCAACCTTTTCCAGTGCCTCACCACCCTCACAGTAAAGAATTTTTTCCTAATAATTAATCTAAAACTGCTCTGAATTTATGAAGTCTTAATTATATGAAGTCTTGCCCTATCTTTCCTCCAAGTTCCCTTCAGGCACTGGAAGGCTGCAGTTAGTTCACMCCAAAGCCTTCTCTTTTCCAGGCTTAACAATTCCAGGAATATCCAGCAGTAGAAATGGATTCTATTAGGTATCAACAAATAATGCAACACATTTTTCTGTATTGTTTTACYTGACCTTTCTTTATATTGCACCAAAAGTATTGTGATTATAGTTATAAGAAAGAAACAGTTGGACTGTGATCTCCTGTGGTAAATACAAAGGGAATAAAAAGTTATTTCCTCACAGCAKCCAGTCCATTGTAGGAAATAGAATAGGGGTTATTTGGGAAAAAAAGACATCTTATATACATCATAACCYTGGATTTAAATATGCTATGTATGGGAGTGCTTAATGACTGACTTCAAAGTCGTTCCATAGGTGACCTTAATTTGTGAACTGCCTAATTTTCTGAGGATTTTTATATTAATAGCATCTTTTTCTCCCCCCCCCCCGCCCCCCCATCTTGCCTCTCTGAGGGTGAAACACTTCTAGATAAAAGTTATCATTTAATTCTGTTGTATTAAAGGAACTGATGCTTTTAATCTGTAATCCCATAGGGTACTAATGATTATCATTGCGATTTAGAAGATGAAATGTTTCCTCTTTCCCCTGTTTATTATGTTTTTATTTATTATGTGTATGTTTTCAGATATGATTCTGGATCAGCAGGTGGGTTCTGGGCAGCTCAGTGAAGATGTTCGTCACAGAGTGCACGAGGCATTGCTGAAACAGCACCACCACCAGAACCAGAAGAAGCTGAGCAACAGGATCCCAATTGTAAGATCCTTTGCTGATATTGGAAAGAAGCAGTCTGAGCCCCATTCCATGGATAAAAATGGTAATGCTTTATTTTGCATTTTGAGCCTTCAGTCACATCTGCCTGTTTGGTATTGCACGTGCTTTGTACCCACAGTTTAACAGCACGATTCTGCTCTSAAAAGCTGCCCTGTAAAAGGGGCACTTTTTGCACGAGAGAGGCTCCTCTTATGCCATCAGAAATATACCTGTTTAAATTTGAAATTTGGGTACCTTGCACAATTCAGGGCT